GGCGGGCGCTGAGAGGGTCCCTCCCGGCACCTGGAGGCAGAAGTGCGCGGCCTATGTGCTGGCGCTCAGGCCGTGGAGCTTCAGTGCCTCCCTCACCCCCGTGGCCCTCGGCAGCGCTCTGGCGTACCGGGCCGAGGGAACGCTAGACCCGGGGCTGCTGCTGGGGAGCGCCGTGACCGTCCTGGCTGTGCACGGAGCCGGCAACTTGGTGAACACCTACTACGACTTCTCCAAAGGCATCGATCACAAGAAGAGCGATGACAGGACTTTGGTGGACCAGATTCTGGAGCCTCAGGACGTGGTCCGGTTCGGAGTCTTCCTTTATACCGTGGGCTGTATCTGTGCTGCTGGGCTCTACGCTGTCTCAACGCTCAAGCTGGAGCACCTGGCCCTGATTTACTTTGGAGGACTTTCCAGCTCCTTCCTTTACACCGGAGGTGGGTGCTGCATCCCGTTTGCTTTGAAGCTGAATATGATCGTGTTAGTACTATCTGTCAAGGGTTTCTAGAACACTCAAATAATATAACTACTTAACGACTGTAAAAATATTTGGTGGTGTTTCCTGGTACTTAAGGTTATATTCTTTGCCGTTGATTGTTGTGGGAAGAGGCACACTAAGTTGGAAAGAGGTGTTGAGACATTGTTATTTATGCATGTGGCGTTATGTGCTTATCAGAACTATTACTGAAGCTTTTTGTGATGTGTGTCTCTTTTCCCTCAGCAGCATAGCTCACTACATACTTTCTTTTCCATTGGAGGTTAATTTGTCACTTTGTTCTGAAGTGTTTTGTATCCTATAGAAGGAGCTTCATCATGAATGTAGAACAGTTTGTGTTTGTTCTTAATAAGGGATGATGCTTTTAGTGTCTTCCTGTGTTGGGTAGATAATTATTACGTTTGTTTCCTTGCAAGAATCTTGTCAGGTTTGTGTTTTGATCTGAGCATTTTACATATTGCTTCAGGATCAGGTAGTGTATCTGGTAACTAAAGAGTACCTTATATCTACAGATTTCTGTAGAAGTATGTACTTTTAGATGTGGAATGGATATTAGAACCTGGCCCGTAGTTTTCTGCTGCTTTGTTTGTCTGGAGAAATCCAGAGGGTTTACTTCATTTTATCTTTGGGAAAAAGAGATACCGTGCTTCTCGGCAATAGCTACATGTGTATCAATTGTTTTACAACATTTTTATGGAAAGGGCTGATCTGTTACATTACCCATGCTCTTCTGTCATTTGAGTTGTTTGATGATGCTTCATTTTATACTTGTGTCTTGCCACAGGAATTGGATTTAAATATGTTGCGCTTGGAGACGTGGTGATCCTGATCACCTTTGGGCCCCTGGCTGTCATGTTTGCCCATGCTGTGCAGGTTGGTTATCTGTCCATCTCGCCACTGCTCTACGCTGTCCCACTGGCTCTCAGTACCGAGGCCATCCTGCACAGCAACAACACCCGAGACATGGAGTCTGACCGGCAGGCGGGTATTGTCACCTTGGCTATCCTCATCGGCCCTGCCTTCTCCTATGTTCTCTACACCGTGCTGCTCTTCTTGCCCTACCTGATCTTCTGTGTGCTGGCCACACGCTACACCATCAGCATGGCATTGCCGCTACTCACCATCCCGATGGCGTTTTCTCTGGAGAGGCAGTTTCGGAGTCAGAGCTTCAACAAAATTCCGCAGCGGACAGCCAAACTCAATCTCCTCTTGGGGCTTTTCTATGTTTTTGGTATTACGCTAGCACCAGCTGGTGCTCTGCCCAAGCTGTAGCAAGAGCTGTAGGTCCAGGCCTCGTGATTCAGTATTAATGCTGGTGAACAGTGGACAATGTGGGTAGATGACCCGTTATGGACAGCAGGAAGAATGGAGAGGCTGTCTTGAGCTGTTGGTTGTCTGTGAATTTTATAATTTCTGGTCTTGCTTAGCAAAAAAGTGATTTGTCAGTTCTTTGGAAGGAGTGAACTGTGCAGCTTTGCTTCAGGGGATGAGGAAACATTCAAAGAACTTCATCCTTCTGCCACTGAATTTTTCACTGTCAACCCAATGAAAGTGAGATTGAACCTCAAATACAAACTCTCTGCTCCCTTCCCAAGCACGGTGGTTGCTCTTATAACTCCTTTTCTTACCGTGGTCAAGGAGTCCAGTGGCTCCTGTGTGGTAAACACAGAACACTGCCAAATATTTAGTATCACAACGATGTAGGTGCTATTACTTCATCTGTTGTATGTTGTTGGTTTTTTCCCTATCCAAATTTAAGCTTTTATTTCCAAGCCCCCTGAAATGCACTAGATACTAATTCATTAACCATTGCTTCTGCCTGGTTCTTAAAATCTAGAAATTTCGAAGATATTTATCTCTGTGGAATATTGGTGCCAAATTGGAGCACAAGTATCCCACTGCACAAATTTTAAGCCAAACCCAGTAAATTTACATTCTGCTACAAAAGCTGAAGCTGTAAATGAAAATTGCACAACTGAAAAGCCCTCTGAAAGTCTAGTGATTTCCATTTTTCCATTTGCTCTGTCTTTTTCATTTCAGGGAGTAAATAGAATTTACTCTCTGAAATGACAGCCTGGGAGTTGAGGGTGGATATGAATTAAAGGATACATGAGTGGAAGAAAAATTCTTTGTTTAAAAAAAGAATATTTTTTTTTCAGTTGTCATAGAGGCCTGGAATGTTAGAAACAAGTATCTCATAGCAAGAAGCCCCAAAAGAAGTCATGTTGACCAAAGGAGAAAGATACAGGGTTAAAAAAAAGAAATTGGGATTATTGCATTGGTTCTGCATAAAAATTAGGACTGGAAACAGAAAGAAACCGCTTTTGTTAGCAAGATAGTTCCTAAAAAGAGTCCGGAGTCGGTGTGACTGAATCCCGTTGAAATGTTGAGTTAGCTCTGAAGTTCCCCCCCCCTTTGCCCATACCTTTCCGGTCTTGTTCTCTCCACTTGACACTCAGTAGCCGTTCTGAGAACTGATTGTTTCTGCGGTTATGTAGCAGTGTGGAGAACATACCAAACACGACTGGGAAAAGGTGTCACTTCCAGTGCAAAGATGAATTTGATCCACACTATGTTGCTCACTGGCAACTGCGTTCTCTTGGGTTGAATGGGTTCAAGAAAAAGTATTCATTTCCTGAATGCAGGGGTTTGGTGGAAAGTTTTTTATGGGTGTTGTGGAAAATTTCAGGGGAATTGATACAGGTGTTGGAGCTGCTGGTGCTTGGAGCACAACCTTACTTTTGAACCCAGTGCTAACCACTGTATGAAGGGCTTTTAAACATGAGCAATAAAGTAGCAATAAGTTAGTGTCGTGTTACTCTGCATCTGTTTTAGGTAAGTCATGCCCCTTGGGTGTTCATCTGAAAGTGCCAAGTGTTACATTTGAGGATTATATTGACAGCAGTAAGGATGAGTTGATGATACAAGATTACATGTTTTAGCTACTTAAGTGCTTGGCTTTATGGCTTTGTGTTATCCACCGTTACTGAGCTGTTGGGCTCCTGTTTTGTTGTTCACCTGTAATCAATAGGAAGGATTCTTTGCAGGTGTGTCTTGTGAGCCACAGTTTCATCTTTTAATAAAATTGGGCGAATGATCTCCGTAATCTGACAAGGCACAGGACAAAAAGAGATGGACTTCAGCAACTGCGTGCTGCTTTCTACAGCAGAATACTTGCTTAGATTGGAAACCTGTAGAGAAAATGCAAAAATTCATCTGGATGGAGGGCAATATGCAGAAGGGTTTGGAAACTGTTTTCAGTACAGTTATATACAACACAACATCTACTGTTACTTCTTTGTGAACCTGCAGAGTAAAGAAGTGCCTGGCTCAGAGACCCACGTCAGTTCTCTGCTGAGCCAAAGGTGTTTTTTGGATATTGACAGAGCTGGTGAATCTGTTAACCTTGCAGATGGGGATATGGGATTAATCCCAGCATGGCTTTGTTGCTGACCTTTATAACAGCTGTGTGCTTCATTTTATGATACTTTGTTTTTGTATAGCTATCAGTTTAAAAGAATGGATAATTATCTTTTTTCTACTTCTTCTACATAAACTACAGTACTCAAATTCCTTAAAGTAACTAATACTTGGCTTCTATCTAACGGTGGAAAGATCTAAGGTATGATAATTGATGGAGTAGGTATGTAACTCTAGTTATATCTAGGCTACTAGCAGAAGAAGCCCCATATGTAGGATGTCTGCTTACTTCTGGAAAGGACCAGTGAATTATGTTACAGAAATGAAGGGAGAACTCACTAGTACATGTATGTGTTTGTGCAACGCTTTCAAGGTGGGGGAGGTTCAGAGCATTTTCACAGTAAGAGTGAGATGAAAATTCAGTAATTCCTTACTAGCCAATGCCAGTTGCCTCCAGTTCCCTGTCTGTGAAAAACAATACCATTCCAGGTTATTAATAAATAACACATTTTTCACCGTGGCTTTGAGGAAGTCATTTAACTTCTCTGTGTCTCAGAAAACTATTGCCTACCTCACAGGGATGCTGAGCTGACATCATTGTCATAGAGAGCTTTGAAAGTGAAAAGTGCTTTATCTCTGTGTGCTTTCCATAAAGTATGTTAGTACTAGAAAACATTTTAGCTGTGAACTATCCTAGCAGGTTTCTTAATCAGTGTAAGTAGACCAAAATAATCTCCACATAGACCCTGAGGGATAAGAGAGGTTCCTTTCCTGATTTGTTTTGTGATGAGGGTGGTGAGTCTCTTTCCTACCCCTCTCCTCTCTGTCCCATGCTACGTTCCCTGAATATAAACTTTTAAAATTCCTTTCAAGGTCTCTCTTGGTGAGCTGGCTTGCAGTGAAATGAGTCTGGTAGCTGAAAAGATCTGTAGTCCATCTGTTAATGTGTCTCTGAGCACCTCCTGGCCTTTCTTATCCAATAAAATATCTGAATATTATTCTGTTAATTGTAGTGTGTTTGATTCTCTTATATCACTCCATCTGCATTTCTGCACATATATCAGAGCATCCTCCTGAGAGGAGGAGTGTCTTTGTCTGATGTATTTCTAGTATAAATGCATAAAAGATCTTTTTGTTTTGTTTTACGTTTTTCTGCAGTGCTTGTCTAGGTTGAGGCTGTAATTGTGATTGTCCACAGATGGCAGCATTGCTCTTCCAGCACTGCTGAAGCACCCTGGGGTATTTGTGCCCCAGGCTGGGAGACACTCTGCCAGGCAGACGACAAGGGCCTCTGCAGAGCACCGGGATTGTCCTGATACCTTTGGCCACAGTCTAAAAAAACTTTTCCTAAGTGCGCCAGGGTCCCATCTGCCTTCCCATGAGGCGTATGGTTTCTCCATCCATGTGGTTATACCGTGTTTCTGGATAAGGCTGAAAGTCACAGAGAAGTAGATTTGATTCATGGCAGCCTTTATCCCTAAGGAGAATCCCTATACCTTTTAATGTGTGCATTTTAATTAGATGTTGCAAAAAGCAGTGGCAAGATGACATTTTCTATGTTGCCTTGTGCCAGCACAGCCTGTGTTTATCTGCCTGCATCCATTGCTACCAGTATCTGGAGTCCCCAGAAGAGGGAAATGACTGGCCAGCGGTCAGTGCAAGAGAGCAATTTCTTTCTCTTTCCAAATCTCTTTCTTCCTCAGAATCACAGAATCATTATGGTTGGAAAGGACCTCCAGGGTCATCAAGTCCAACCTTTTTCCCAGCATTCTCACAGCTCTGCAAGAAGTGGCCAGGAACCTGAGTACGTTCCCTGTGTGGAAACCGAGTTTCAGATGTTGTGTTAGAGCCATCTCTACCTTTAATTCGTTGTAGGCTGGAATGTTTTGCCTGCCTGTGCCGCGGCTGTTTTCTCAAAGTGAGAGATACTCATAAACCCCGGGATCTGCCTGGGTGTGACTGGTCTGCTCTGCTAATGAATAGATAACTGATAGTCCACTGAGGGTTTATTATATGTCAATATAAAGTTTAGATTAATGGATTACCAAGCAAATGCTCTGTGAAGTCTTTATAAAGCTCCAGCTTTGCCCTGGGAGGACAGAGCTCTGAATGCTAGGTGTTCTGAGTGCTAGGAAGAGAGAAAGTCTGAGACACACCAAAGAAGGAGAGAGACAGAGAAAATAAAACCTATTCAGGTTAGGAAAGGCTGTACTTTGCAGGCACTATGAAAGGCTTTCTTTCCTTTACTGCCCTTGCAGTCATTTTGCTGGCGCACAGCTCCCAGGCAGTCTACGTTCAGGTAAGTTTCCTGCTCTTTAATTTGTTGCTATCACAAGTTCAACAAAGGACACGTATTATGTGAAGTGTGGCTGCAACAGGAATCATGAACTAAGCTAACAAACCTGGGTTTTTCTTTTGCTCTGGCTTGACATCCGCCTTAATCTCCCTATGGTTCAGTTCTTTCTGTAAAATACTTCAGGTATTGCTAACAGGCTGCAGTTTATTTAACTTCACCAGCTGTATCACTGCTTCAAAATCCTGTGCTGCTTGAGGCACTGCATTTCCAGAGTTTTCTGTTGTGCATAACTCCATGCATTGTGAAACTGGAAGAACTGGGGACACCTCTAACTTTATAGAATGGTGTGAACAAGATCTGACAAAAGAGAAATTGTCTTGTCTTGCTCGCTTCTAGGCAGGAGGTACTTAATGATCTTCAAGCTTACATGATGGAGCCTACACACATATCACATATTAAAAAAAAAAAGGTGAAAGAATTGTTTAGCTGAATCCAATGAAATATTAATAGGCAGATAAGCTATTAGAGGAGGCTGTACCAAATTTTCCAGAGTAGACAGCACCTATGACTATACTACATGTACCGTGGAAGCAGCTAAGAAGGTATTTCAGTGCTCTTCTCTGTACTTAGGAGTATGTTTGATCTGTCTGCACTCACCCTTAGAAACACTTTGGCAGATTTCTGTTTGATTGCAATGCTAATAGCTTCCTTGGAATACCAAGAGAACTAATATTTCTTAAACAATTATTGACTTTATATGTGCACAATAAGTTTCCAGGGATTGGGTACTATCTTTGTGCCTTGAAATATCCTTGTTTTCCTCTTCGGATGCTGGAGATACACGGAAATAGCTGGGGGTTTTGCTCTGGGGGCCCCAGCGTAGGAGCGGATCCAGAGGAGGCCACAAAGGTGCCGGAGCACGTCCCCTGTGGGAACAGGTGGAGAGAGTTGGGGCTTTCCAGCCTGGAGATGAGAAGGCTCCAGGGAGATCTAGCAGCTTTCAAATGTTTAAAGGGGCCCTGCAGGAAAGAAGGGGAGGGACTCTTTTTCAGGGAGTGTAGTGATGGGGCAAGGGGTAACAGTTTCAAACAGGGAAATAGTGGGTTTAGATTAGATGTTAGGAAGAAATTCTTTACTGTGAGGGTAGCAAAGCACTGGAACAGGTTGCCTGGCCAAGCCGTGGATACCTCATCTCTGAAAGGGTTCAAGGTCAGGTTGGAAGGGGCCTTGAGCAACCTGATTTAGTTGAAGGTGTCCCTGCCAGTGGCAGGGGAGTTGAAAGTAGGTGATCTTTAAGGTCCCTTCCAACACAAACTATGATTCCAACACATTCTATGATTAAGCTATTCCTTTCTTCCAAACCATTCTTTAACATTTAGAGTCTCCAGGAGAACAGATAGCTTCCTACTTACTGAAAAAAACCCTTCTGTTTTCCACTTGGAGGCATAAAAATAGCAGAACGAGTATAGCTGTTTCTAGGTTCAGTAACAATGTGGAAAGTGCAGCTCTGGAGTTGTATCTCCTTTTTGTAGTTTGAATTCTTATCTCATTAATCATTAAATCTGTATTTTTCTGAGTATATGTTCTGTGTCCTCTGCATGTGTGTGGCACTTCTTTCACTTGGACTAGTTGAGGTCCCTTAGGTCTGACTAATTCCTCTGTGCACAAAGCTGGCTTAAGCTCTTGTTTTCTGAAATTCATCCCAAGATGCCCCCTCCCTCTCCCGTAGTATGTGAGAAGTCATTCATTTGCCAAACATTAACATTTTGCAAAGCAGAAGGGAAGTTCATTTAGCTTCCTATCATATTTTTAGAAGACTGAATATCACTATCTTGACACTTCCCATCACAGATCTTGAATGAATGTGATGGAAATTGGAGGTGTGGAGTAAAACCAGAAAAACTACAGAGATGGCTTGTTCTGGCCTGCACTATTTCTGTGATACTGTCTCTTTATTCAACAACACAGTATGTGCTTTCACCTTGGGGGGAAGAGGCTGCTCAGATTGAGCTCTGTCCAGTACATCTTTCTTATCTGAGATGGTGGGGAGTTCTGCTTGGTATTTTTGTTGTCCCTTTGTTGTTTTTTCTGACCAGGACATACACGTCCCAGGATTCAGTCATGCTTTCTGATTTCTCTCAAGCTGTACCTGTGGAAATTCACCCTTTTTTAGTTCTCTGTTTTATGCATTTGAGCTCTGTGATCAACGGCTGAATCTCGAACTGCGTATTTATACAGGCAAAGTTAATTTTTCATAGGCGACAATGACTGATAAATTAAGCCAAGTAAAATCATAAACTGATGGCAAGTAGAAACAGTTTGACTTTGTTAATGGCCAGAGTTTATCTGTTTGGGTTTATTAACTCTTTAATACTTCACTTTATTTCTTTGCATCAGCAGGTGTAGCTTGATCATCCTTCTGACTATATATTGGTCATTAAACCAGGTTAAAACACATGCTAAAAATCAATTTCGTAATGCTTATTTCTCTTCTAGGCCAAACTCTTGTTATCTGCAGACCTACCACATATTGCCCAGTCATCTCTCTTCTAGGCTGAAGATTCCCAACCTGTGTCTTTTGACCCCAGATTTTATGAGTTTCTCCCATGGGAGTGAGAAATGCATTAATTTTGGCTCTGTCCACTGTGATACAGAAGGAAAGCTCTGACTAGACACCCAGGTCTCACTGCTGGTCTGAAAGGTCCTTGCCTTGAAGAGCTGATCATTTTGCCTTCAGTCAGCACCTATTTTATCTAGGCTTTGTTTCAGCACTGTCTTTTCCCTGTACTGTAGTTTTTGGAGAGCTCATGGTTGAAATGGATTTGCCTAAGGACTGACTTCCTGATATCTTTTTTTCCTGGTTTTTATCTACATAGGATGGAAACTTGAGATTCTCCCTTGAGTCTGTGAAGAAGCTAAAGGAGCTTATGGATGAGAATAGGCACATTAACCCTCGCATGGTGGTTTCAATGGCTGGCTATTCTCCTTGTGATGAAAAAGATCTCCCTCAAGAGTTCCAATCTGTGTGCAAAAGAGAAGATGCACCCGTAATTTTTAAGAGGCTGAGTATGTAGCTTATATTGCACAGTTGCCAATTTAATCACACTTTTCAACCTTAAATATTCGAATAGCAAGAGGCAAAGAAACATAATCATTGTTCTGTCACGTCTGAAGCAGCTGAGAGTCCATGCTGCCTTTCTCCTACCCTTCCTGCAAGAGTTGCACAACGCTAAGTGTGAGCAACCTACAAGAAAATTCCTG